TACTTGACACTGGACTTCAGGCATTTTGGTATTTCCCTCTGCCCAGTCTTCCTCCAGACTCTGGCACCTTGATTTCTGAAGGACATGCAAAAGTTGCTTTCATCCAAAAAAAGTACTTTGGACCACTTAGCAACAGTCCAGTGCTGCTTCTCTGTAGCTCAGGTCAGGCGCTTCTGCCGCTGTTTCTGGTTCAAAAGTGGCTTGACCTGGGGAATGTGGCACCTGTAGCCCATTTCCTGCACACGCCTGTACACGGTGGCTCTGGATGTTTCTACTCCAGACTCCACTTCTTCTGCAGGTCCCCCAAGGTCTGGAATCGGTTCTTCTCCACAATCTTCCTCAGGGTCCGGTCACCTCTTCTCATTGTGCAGCTTTTTCTGCCACACTTTTTCCTTCCCACAGACTTCCCACTGAGGTGCCTTGATACAGCACTCTGGGAACAGCGTATTCTTTCAGAAATTTCTTTCTGTGTCTTACTCTCTTGCTTGAGGCTGTCAATGATGGCCTTCTGGACAGCAGTCAGGTCGGCAGTCTTACCCATGATTTCGGTTTTCAGTAATGAACCAGGCTGGGAGTTTTGAAAAGCCTCAGGAATATTTTGCAGGTGTTTAGAGTTAATTCGTTGATTCAGATGGTTAGGTTAATAGCTCGTTTAGAGAACCTTTTCATGATATGCTAACTTTTTGAGATAGGAATTTTGGGTTTTCATGAGTTCTGTATGCCAAAATCATCAATATTAAAACAATGAAAGGCTTGAACTACTTCAGTTGTGTGTAATGAATCTAAAGTCTATGAAAGTCTACTGTTTATCAGTACATTACAGGAAATAATGAACTTTATCACAATATGCTACTTTTTGAGAAGGACCTGTAGATAAACAGACAAAAGAAGGTTTTCAGGAAAAACTCTTAAAAATTAGTTTCTAAGCCATATGTGAGAACAAGGTCTAGAGTGTTATTAAAGTGGTGGGTGTTGTTCTTTTACAATTTCAGAGAACCCAGCTAAGTCTAATGCTGGATTTAATGCCATGTTGGGACATTCATTTTCATTATTGTATGTTAAAGTCACCCACACACACACCACAATAATTATGTTCAGCATTAAATCAGATTTTTTAAAAATCAGATATAAACTCTAAGGGTCAAGTGGATGACATTTAACAAATAAAACTATGGTGGACAAGGCTAAGCTAATATATTCAAAATCTGTCTGGGTCTTTGGTTGATTAATAAGCTAGAGTGGAAGAATGCTGCCATTCCTCTTGATTCTTGATTCATTTAAACTAACACAATCGTCTTGTTGTAATCAAATGTATAGCTGACTATTGGAAAACAGCTGAGTTACAGCTATTTAGCAGCTCTTTATTCACATCTGAAACAGCAGATAATGAAATATGGAAGCCAGAATCATATATTTGATCAAAGGTTGTTGAGCTGAGAAAGGAGCTAACAGTGTCTCAGAAGGCTAATGTTTGTATTTAGTTGGGGGACATTGTAATGTGTAACTGGGTTACCCCTCACAGTGATCTTAATTAGACCTCAACTACTGTAGATGACGTAATGCTTAAGGTTTGAGGTCTGTAAAGCATCAGATTTCTAATGTATCTGAGATACAATTTAAATACTTAAAAACTTTTGACTCTAAAGCTCTCTGGTGATTGATGCTACAGCACAGCAGGAAAAACTCAAAGCAAAACACAAAACTGAACAGTTGATTCTCTGTGGGATCAGTTGAACTTTTGAAAATTTACAATGATGAGTAGTCACCTAAATCACTTTGCTAAAATATAATTTACTGGATCACTAATCTGTCCTTGAATTAGTTCTTTATGATTCCTCCACAGATTGAACCAGGAGAGCTCAGAGGTTCCCTTTGGTCAGTCTGCCCTGCAGCATCAAACAGACCTGGACTCCATATTTAAGGTCTGTACATGTACAACAACTACTTTTACATCTATTCTATTCACAGTCATTTCCATGCTGCTCTTTGTAGACCAGTGGATTGTCAGTGTGTCCAACATGGATCTGATGTTTGGCTCCATGATTTCTGTGTGATTGGGTCATTCATAAAAAATTATGTTCCAGCTTCTTAAGGATGACATCATCACATTTGTGAACAATGAGCTGACGAAGATCCAGAAGGTTCTGAGTCCAGATTACCCACAATGCTTAGAGAGTCAGTGGGAGGATGATGAAGCATGGAAGAAGAGCAGAGAGGCATTTATAAAGATCACACAGGTCTTCCTAAGGAGAATGAATCAGGAGAAGATGGCTGACCATCTGCAGAGCAGTAAGAGGATTTCTTCAAAGATTTATGCTGCTGGATCACTTATGTTTCAACTGATCAGTGTTGGGAAGGTTACTTTTAAAATGTATTCCACTACAGATTACAGAATACATGCCCCAAAATCTACAGTATTTTGTAATGTATGCAGTTAAGTTACAGTGGAAACTATATATTGAAGCAGTATTTCAGCAAAGGCCATAATAATCCAGCTGCTATTAAAATGTGCTAGATCATAGGGTTTTATGTTTTGCTTGTAACGTCATACGTGCCTGCCCAGTGACAGTCAGAGCAAGATGTAGGAAAATACATTTTCTAGCGCTTACTTGTTGTGTATTTTGTTTTCTGTATTTAATAACAGGCCAGTATATCGAAGGCCACCTTTGAGTTATAAACTGTGTCATAGGTTATTAGATTGTTTAGCAAGACTGAAAACTGTGCAGAACAGGAAGCTTTGTGCAGAGTTGCAGAGGACATCGCCTATTTTTATGCTGCTAAAAGGGAACAACAGGAAACCGCGGGGTGAAAGGAGTTAAGAAAAGTTAAGAGAATCTTAATGAGACTAACGTATTCTGAATACTTTGGATTACTTAATATATTGTCATACTTTTTACAACTACACAAATGTACTATTTCTGTGTGATTTATTACCATTACTGAAGGCTACATGTCATATCAATACCAACTAGATTTTAAATTTTAAAATAAAATGAGTAATAGTAGGGGTGGACATCAGGTAAGGCTGCACTTTTTACAGTGATCTCGTACAGAAAACTATTTCTATATTCATAATAGGTTTTCTTTTTAATATATATATATATATGAGCCTCCACATCATGTGCCACATCCCAGTCTTCTGCTGGATCACTGCTACAGTTCTGGAGGATGTGCTGGAAACCAGAGAGGGAGGACAGCTGCCCAAGACCCTGACTGAGATGTACATCCACTTCCTGGTGGTTCAGGCCAAAGTGAAGAAGGTCAAGTATGATGGAGGAGCTGAGACAGATCCACAC